ACGATCCCTGACAAACTTGTGCGGCGAACTCGACCCACTCCCCCACTCGTTTTTGAAATGGGGAAAAGCTTTAATATCATAAAACACAATCTCTTTAACCAACTCATCATCGGGCTCAAAAAATTACCATCTTTATCATCCAAACATTAAAAAATCGCTCGAATTAATAAATTCACCATCTCTCACCTGTATAATTTAACCACTTCTCTCGATCTCGTACACTTCTTCAGAAAATGACCATCTTCCTTATTAAAAAAATTCAGCATCTCCAGGGCTCGACATTAACGGTAGCCAACTAGCCCCAGACTAGTAGAAATTCAGTTTCGGCTAGTGGTTTTTGATTCCCACAGGCCAGTTTGGCTGGTAAACAGACTGAAATTGTTGTAACATCTAAGTTGTCGCTTGGCTAGCTCTAAAGTTGAAAAGTTAGTGTCGAGCCCTGAATTCTCTCATGTTCAAAGATTTAACATCTTTCTTTTTCAAAAATGTACTCGCTTCCATGTTCAAACGTTTACCATCTCTCTTCAGTCTTATTCAAAAATTTACTCTCTTCCTTGTTAAAAAATTTACCATCTCTCTGGCTCAACAGTTTACCACCTCTCTAGTTAAAAAATTTCCCATCTCTCTGGCTCAACAGTTTACCACCTCTCTAGTTAAAAAATTTCCCATCTCTCTTCAGTCTTGTTCAAAAATTAACTTTCTTCTGTGTTTAAAGATTTAAAACCTCTCTTGTTGAAAACTTTACCCTTTTTTTTACTCTATAATAGCTTATTCCAAGCGTTCGGCCGAGCGAAGAAATGAGGTGGGCTTGGGTCAAGCTCGTTCAATAGCCCATTTCCGAATTACCCTGGCCTCATTTTTAAAACGAGTCCTGGTGCTCATCCTTTCATATAATAATAAGTTTTCATTCACATGCAAATTAAACTCATTTTCAAAAGAATGGTTGAGCACCAGGCCTCATTTTGAAAAAAGAGGCCATGGGTAATTCGGAAATGGGCTATTTGCTCCGTTGCATTAATTGAACGGCGCTTGAATTTTGAATCTGTAGAAAGTTCGTTACCTTGAGCCACAATGATTCCTACAGCTGAGGAAGACGACAACACAGGAGGAACGTAGAAATACCATCGGCTCAACACCATATGAATGTGAAGAGAACATTTGGGCTGCACAAAGATGTTTACTAGAAAATGGTTCAATTCCAAGCCTATCAACATCCAAAACCTTTCGAAATTTTGTATGGAATACATATATCTTATTAGACGTTTTGTTGTGTAGTATCGCTGAGTATTTTTACGAGTTGTGCCGTATTTTGACGAGCCCGTAGGGCGAGTCAAATTACAAATAACGAGTAAAAATACTCAGCGGTACTACACAACAAAACGTCTAATAAGTTATTTATTATCCAACACGCCAAATTGTTATTTCAGTGCGGGCGAATTTCGCGGATATTTATTTACGGGGAGTCCGTGACAGAAGTATGCGAAGCGGAACGGAATTGGCGCGTTGTCGTGTTGCTGTTTCTATTTTCTTCAGTAAATGAAGAAATTCCCTGGTCGTCTGGCTGTTTTTCTTTGTTCGGATTCATCTAATAAATTTGGATCTATATTTGGCAACCATTCCGACTCTTCGTGGGCAGAAATATGATTCAAATTGTCCGCCATTTTTTTTTTTCGTAACTTCAATCCAATTCTTCGCTTGCGCGATGCGAGAAAACCTGTCTAACCGGTTCTCTGGAGTACAAATACCGCGTGATATTTGTACTCGTCAATGGCGTTATTTGTACTCTACGAAGTGTAGTTGGATAATAGTGGGTGATAACACTTCAGCTGTCAAAAGGGTTAACAAGAAACTTCACCTTACAACATTATGGGGAAATGTAAATGTAAAAGTGTCAAGCGTTAAACAGCGATATATACCTTGGAAAAACGTCAAAACTAAACATTGAATGCACACGTTGTTTTAAATCATAAACAAAGTTATGCAAACTCACCGGGAAGCATTTTGTAGATTTTCCTTTATGATCAACTAATGGGGCTTTCAGTGGAAACCATTCACCTCCCTTGTTAAATGTAATCACAGATTTGTATCTGACGTCTTTTCCCCCATCACCATCTGGGATGAACACATTCGCGAGGTACGTTCCATTGAGGCTCTTGACCTACAAAAACCCCACAATACCAAATATTCAATTAAGTGTCAAAAGTAAACCGTGATTGTTTTGGTTTTGCTTTGCCTCGGTGTTTGAGTGGTCCAGAAAACTCGCGCCACTTTCTTAACCAATCAGATTCATAACCAAATCCAATAGTAACTCGGTAATTTGGTTATATCAGCTAAGTTGAAATAGTAAAGTGGGATTAAGAGTGCCGATTTGAAAGATAAACTTTTGTTAAAGAGTTTTGCAGCTTTCCGAGTTGCCTAAATGTAAGGAAAGACTGCAGATTGCCATATGTTTTTTTAGAATGATTAGG